CACCGCACCACCCACCCGGCGTGCCGGCCTAGGGCCCTGCCCGGTCCCCTCCTCCTCCTCCGCCCCATGTCCCTCCCCTTCCTCTCCCTCTCGCTGGGCCGTGGCGCGCCGCCGGGCGGGCGGACACCTCCTGGCGGCGCTGCGCGCCTGCGAGCGGACATGTCCCGCATCCGTCAAAGCCCATCATTCTTGTCGGCGACGGCTTGATTGATAGGTGTCGGGGTGCGGTGGGCGTGTCAGGGCGGGGCGTGGCGGGGCGTGGCGCGGCGTGGAGGTGGGAGGGCCCCCGGCCGACCGAAGGGCCCGGCCCGGTAGGCTGCTGCACCGAGGCAAGGGCCCTCCGCCAGGCCCAGCGCCTCCCGAGCGCCGCCCGCCCTTCCGGCGCACTTGAAGAATTGCGTCTGCCGCTCGGGAAGTAAGAAGGGAGCCGAACCACAAAGTCGAAAACATGGACCACACTTGACCCCTTTCAGACTCCGACGTTCAGTTCAGCAGTGTATTCGGTTTAGGGACTTAATTCGATTACAATTTGGGTAGACAGACAGCAACTCGTCAACAATTAGAAACTTTCGACATTATTGATTGAGAAAAATACGATGTAACATATTTTCCTCAGTATATTTATACAACTACATGACTCCACGTTGCATACAAAAATACGCTTTCTCATTTCCAAATCGACGCTTTCAGTGTTTCTTTTAAAATTTTCGTATAAAAAGTTTAGTTTTGTTTTTATCTGAACGAGAGCTCGCAAACTCGTGGCTTCGCGTTTGCTCGGGTTGGCCCATATTGTGTGTGTCTGTCTTCCTCTCACCCATTGAGTGCCATTAGGAGTGACAAAGACAGACACACAGGCTGGCGGACGACACCACTAGCTCTGTCTCTCTCACTCTATTGCCGAAGAGCTCGAATAGTCCGTGTGGCGTATGGCGTATGGCGTGTGCCTGTGCTGGTGCGGCTTGGCGCACTGTTAAAAATACCGTTAGGACCTGCAAACCTGGAGTAAGATTTCCCTGAACTCGCCTAAAGAGCCTAAAGGCTAAAGGCTCTTTAACCTCGCGCCATTGCAATGGGGAACCTCACTCTCAAAAGGTGAGGACCGCAACGTACGACTCAAATCGAGTAAGAGTCAGCTACCTCGCTCTCAGGAGAGCGATATTTCTTGAGTCACTGATCTCGCACTGCTGAGAGCAAGATATCTGACTTTAGTACTTTCAGTGGAATTACGGTTGACTACGGCCCATCCCGTGTATTTTATGTACGTTCGAGACCGTACATATTTGGTACTTCAGTGTGTAAGTGAAGTGCTGTACCAGGTGGCTGATTCACGCCTCGCACTTCCGTTGTTATACTGCACTGCATGCACGGGTGCGGGTGGGTTTGCATATCCTCGCAGCACACGGCTCCTTATGGTCCTGTGCGAACAAGCAGTCGTGATAACTCTTTTTGAAGTTTAAAGAAGATAAGGCGACCCGTCAGCACGCGTGCATGCTGTACAGTTTAACTACGAAAGTGCGTGGCGTGAATCAGCCACCTGGTATGGACCAATAAGTCAGATTGCGAAGCTACGGTACGCGTCCCGTGCGGAGTAGACCGTAATCGAAAATTACGGTCGTAGACCTGATGACAAATTCACGGGGCAAACTGAAGACATTTCTCGTAGGTTTTTCTAACGGATTATATAGCTCGAGTTTGCGACCCCTGAGTCTAAACTTTAGATGGTTTTGAGTATCTATTTTAGTGAATAACTGTAAGCTATGGGTTAATCTACATATTGATCACGGACGAAATACGTACAAAATATCAAAATCAGCTAATCAGTACAATTAGTGGCTACAGTAAAAACCTAGATGTTACACAGTTAGAAATGGACCTATGAAGTAAACCTTAAATCTACAAAATATTTCTAATGCTTTAAATACGCGTAATAGAACATTTAACATCCGCAAAAGTAAGATCCATTTAACTACCATAAAATAAAAGTAAAGTCTTGGTCCAGTCAATGGATCCGCGTAACCTATGAGCATCAAAATCCCTCGTCAGTTCAACGCACACTACTTTTGACCTTTGTGCGCGCACAATATGCGTCAACTAACTCTTGTCTCGTATTTTACCAATCGTCAGCGTCACCATAAAGCGGCCTGGGCTCGTCGAAAGGCTTGTGGAGTGGAGGTGATTGTATGTCATGAGGAGTGGAATGAGGAGCGCCTGCTGGGTAGGCAGCCCAACTGACTCGAACGCCACAAGTGCGACCCTGCCAGCAGGGGGCGGGCAAGAGTCCCACGGCTCCTCCCCACGTACAGTACCAGGTCTTTAGGCCTTTAGACCATGACCACCCTTAGGCCCTGAGCCCGGCCGCTGCCGCCTCCGCCCTCACACCTGGTTCTCCTGCTCGCAGGCAGGCCCCGGCGGGGAGGCGCCGGCCGCCAGTAGCCTCTGCTGCTGCTGCTGCTCGCAGAGGCTGCTGCGGTGACGCTGACGCCGCATTCGCTACAAGACGTTGGTGAACGTCGTCGTCTCATCGGCGTGCACTAGGCTCGTCGTCATGTTGTCCCTGCCGTTGGTGAGCTCTTGGCCGGGGCCGTCGCCCTTGCCCGTCAGGCGGACGCCGAGCAGGCCGCCGCCTCTCCGCCGCGACCCGTTGGAGGCGGCGCCGCCCCCAGCCGCGCTCGCCCCGGGAGCGGAACCGACGGCGGCGGGGCCGGACAGGCAGCAGAGCGCGCACACTACGTTCAGGATCTCGCGGAACTCCTTGCGAAAGTTCTCGTTGAGCCAGCCGTAGAGCATCGGGTTGGTGCAGGCCGACGACATGCCCATCATGTGGCACAGGGCGTACGTCACCACCATGGCCTGGCGGTTGCCACCGAACAGCGAGTCTGGCTGCCTGTCGGCTTGTGCATCACCGTCTTCTCCTGAAGACAGGTACAGGTGGCTGATGTCCATGGTCAGGTTGAAGATGTTGAGCGGCAGCCAGCTGATGCCGAAGATGAGGGCGATCGAGATGAAGAGCGCGTTGGTGCGCTTTATCCGGCGGTCGTCCTTGGGCTTGGGGCGCGCCGCCTGCTCCTTGACCGGGGCTGGTGGCGCGCAGCAGCCCGAGGACGCCGTCGTGGACGTGGTGTGCGTGGGCACGGGCAGGCCCGTGTTGCGCTTGGACGCGGACGAGTTGACGTACCGGTAGCGCAGCTTCTTGCAAATGCGCGAGTACGCCAGCGTCACGATCACGATCGGGAACACGTACTGGAAGATGAGCGAGAAGAGCGAGTAGTAGGCGCCCCCCTCCTTGATGGGCCACTGCTCGTTGCAGTACACGATCTGCATGTCGACGATGTCGTGCACCTGCAGGTGGCGGAAGATGAAGAGCGGGCTCGCCAGCAGGAGCGACACCATCCAGATCATGACCGAGATGACGATGGCGCCCAGCTTCTGGATGTTGTTGCCCGTCGGGTACACGATCACCTGCGCACAAGCAAAAGAGACGGAGGGGATTACTTTGAGTCAAGCACAAACACGCGCATCATTCTGAAGCATATAGTGCCTGGCGTGGTGGCTCTAATGTACAAAAAGGATTATACGTGATGACAAGAATTACGCGCGAATTTAAATCATGAATTTTGTAGACTTTCTTGGCGAGAAAAATCATAAAATTTTGATAACTTTTGATAATTCGGCAAAATTTAGTGATAATGTTTCAAAAGTATTACACGGAGTTACAAAGGGATTACACATTACACGTCCATCTGTACACAGGATCACGGGAGTTGGGGCCCCCTTAGGGCGGCGACAGGGGCAAAGGTAAGGGCAGGAACAGTGACGGTGACTTCGCCACGGGCAGGGGCAGGACAATCTCGACTCGGCACAAAGGCCTCTGCCAGCGGAGCGACGACAACAACAGCGAGACCCCCGAGGCCGGCAATGAACGCGCACCGTTGGGCCTCGCTGGCGAGCTCGCTGGGCCGCAACGTGTATACGAGTGCGTTGCGTCCGCTGGCTGCTGATAGCAACAGAACAGAGAGGCCAACTCTCTCCCAGTCCCTGTCGCATTATTTATCGCCCCCGGCAAGAGGTAATTGGCATAAAAACGACTCACTTTCCCGTTTCCGGCTAACTTATTTAAAAAGGCGTCGGCAGCCGCACGTGTCTCTGACATTTTGAGGTCGACTCCGCAAACGTCTCTGCATGCCGCTGTACCCC